AACATGTCACATGCCCAAAGAATTTAAATAGGCCTATTTAATGATATTTTGTGAAATTACTTTTAAAATATAGTACCGTCGTAATTAGCAATAGATACGTATTCGTGTATTTTTTTCATTTTGATTCTGCAAATAGTTCAAGAATGAAGACTCAAGAGCTTACTAATGACACCGATTTAAGCGCTAATTTATCAATGTGGTATCCAAACTCTAGTAGTACAGGTAACATTAGAATATGTGTATTTATAAAGTACAACACCTCCTTTAACACTTTAACGTTAACCATTGAACATGTGTATTTATACAGTACAACACCTCCTTTAACACTTTAACGTTAACGGCGGCTCTAGGATATATTTTCTGTGGTGGGGGGGGGGGTGGTCTAAGCTGTCCGACAGAGGGAACTTGAGCTCGTAGGCTGGAGGAAAGGGTTGAGAGGAGGTTCTCCCTCCCAAATGAGATTTTTTTGTTAAAGAATATCAACCTCTGGATGCCCGAAAATGGCACTCTCAGACTGTTACAGACATGTGTTGGCTTGGTGTGGGCCTATTTTTATATGTTTTCTGGTCTTACTGCCCGACGAGCTCTGTCCGGCGGGGGGGGGGGGTGACCTGTCCGGTCCGGTGGCTGGAGGAAGGGGTTGAGAGGAGGTTCTCCCTCCCAAATGAGATTTTTTTTTTAAGAATATCAACCTCTGGATGCCCGAAAATGGCACTCTCAGACTGTGACAGACATGTGTTGGCTTGGTGTGGGCCTATTTTTATATGTTTTCTGGTCTGACTGCCCGACGAGCTCTGTCTAATAATAATAATAATAATAATAAAAATAATAATAATAATAAATACTTAGCTCTAACAGCCGTCCATACAAAAAATATATATTAATTATTCAATCAGCTAAAAACTAAATTATTTTAGTTTTCAAATATGCATCTGGTTTCTGTTGATTTATTAATTCAATTATTGCTAGAGTATTTTACAGCATCTAAAAATTTATTTTTTTATTGAATTTTATAATTGGGGGGCCATTTTTATTTAAGGATTCAATACTTGCTATTTTACAGTATTTAAATATTTGAAAATTTAATTTTTAAAAAAGTCATTTCTATTAATGAACTTTTCATTGGGGCCATTTTTACCTAGACCTACTTGTCATTTGGGGCCACTTTGACCGGGACCATTTTTACCGGGCCATTATTACCGGGGCCATTTTTTCCTACATCCCCTGATGTACTGATGTTAATTTGGTCCATTCATAAATGCAAGTTTAACAACACTTCTTTCTTTTCTCCATGTAGCTCCTTCCGTCTTTTGTTGATCTTTTTATCTTTGTAAGTAGTTGTATAGATTTGAATTGAAGATATGGATATATTATATATAATCAAATCGATGTTGCTCTATGATGGTTCAATATTACTAAAAATAATTCTAAAATATGCCTATAGTATAGCGAATTACTACTATCTTAAATTTTTATATTAATCTCTATGTAAATGGTATGCATATCTGTATTCCTAATTGTTAATAATAAACTTCCTGTCCAGACTATCAAATTTTATTTTACAAAAAACATGCGACATGCTTAAATATGGTCATGATCACATCACACACCATGATAAAATATAGGCACAACGTGACTATTATGTGCCTATGGTTTTTTTTGTGAAAAAATAAAAATAATAAAAAAAAAAAAAAAAAAAAAAAAAAAAAAAAAAAAAAAAAAAAAAAAAAAAAAAAAAAAAAAAAAAAAAAAAAAAAATAATGTCGGTCTTGTACGTCGGTATATCGCTTCATACATAAAGCCTCTAAGCGCTTCACATTGCTACCCCGGTCATTGCATCAAACATGTATGGAACACATACTGAGCTCCCTGGGGAGAATTACATAATAACGCAGTTTTAGTAAACAGCACAGTTGTGTTCGAACCTACCAGGCACCCATTTGTACTCTCCTGGGTGGAGAGAGGCAACCTTAGATAAAGTGCCTTGCCCAAAGACACAAAGCGAATTGCACAGTGAGAGTTTCAAATCCCCGACCTCGCCACAACCGATGCGCCACCCCAGGGGTGGCGCCAAGGGGAGGGATTTAATTCTATTATATGTATTTTTTACATATTAGTAGACTCTAAAATCGATAAAATAAGCCTTTGAAACCCCTAAATTGTCGAAATTTTCGGGGGCTTCTCCCCCAGGACCACTTTCGGAACCTTTTAGTCGAAGCTCGACCACGCCCACTTTGCTTTCGTCGGGGAAATCTGACACCCCGTCGGGGACCTCGGCCCCCACCCCGTCGGGCAAATTCTGGCGCCACCCGCTTCCACAGCAAATAACATTTGATAGTCTGCATGGCATTAGCTGTCATCTCAATTTGAAAATGAAAAATGGCAATTATATTAATATATATTTAACATAATTTGTTCGTGTATATTATACTTCTTCAAGCTTGAGTTGAATGAATTCTTATGGCCTATCCCGTATACTAATTAGTTTGTAAAGTACATTCCAATTCTGGATATAGTAAAAATGGTCTAGGCCTATTAAGCTCTGCCAGTAAAACACAGTTCCATTTCTGATAAGAAGCCACTAAGTCGAACTAAATAAAGAAATAGAGATATACAGTATTTACAACGATGCAGAATACTATGTATACTATTATATCAAAATATATAAACATGCAAAATAATATGTATTATATCAAATAAGTGAAAATAAACCCAACTCTGGATATTGTAAATATGGTCTAGGCCTATTAAACCATGCCAGTCAAAAACAATATGATTTGTCTTTGTTTGAGTTACTTCTTATGGCCTGACATACAATGTTACCACATTATAATCTGTAACGTGGCCAGGACCAGGCAGGGCCAAAGTTTGAGATGAAACGCCTGAGGATCCTTTCCATAATTTTCCATGCCTTTTTACAGTACTTTTCAATTCGTCTGTAATTGACTCAAAGATGATTATGATGATGACGACGATGATGATGATGATGATGAAGATGATGATGACAACGATGATGATAATTGATAACATCACGCATGAATGACATAGGCTTATTAACGATGTTCTCCCTGTCATCTTAATTTGTAAAACACATTAAATTGTTTCCTATATAGTGACATGTTTCTGATTGATCGGAATATATACAGAAAAGTGGACCTACACTATAAAAACAGCGCAGAGGCATTTACAAATGCACACAATCTTGTTCCGATGAAGTTTAAAAGCTAGACGTGTTAGGCATAGCCTACCTTTTCAGGGATTTTAACGCGTTTACCATTTAGGACAAGGGTAGCGCCAGCGGGAGGGGGGACCTACACTATAAAAACAGCGCAGAGGCATTTACAAATCCACACCATCTTGTTCCGGTGAAGTTTAAAAGCTAGACGTGTTAGGCATAGCCTACCTTTTCTGGGATTTTAACGCGTTTAAAATTTAGGACAAGGGTAGCGCCAGCGGGAGGGGGTGGGAATCGGGTCGGGGCAGTGCCTCTGTCGATGAGAGGTGTCCTCCCCTTCGTCGGGGAGAAAAACCGCAATTCGTCGAGGGAGACAATGTATACATGTATTTTCTACATATGTGTAGACCCAAAATGGATTAAGTAAGTATTTAACACTTTAAAAACCCTAAATTATCATATTCTTCGAGGACTTTTCCCCCATACAACTTTTTCGAGAGATTTTGATCGACGCCGCACCACACCCACCCACCCTCCGTCGTGGGAAAATCCTGGCGCCACCACTGATTTAGGACAGTTGTCATGATAACACCCAAGCAAATTGAGTGCCACTTCAGGATTTTGTAAGTCTGTGTGTAATAGATTAGCATATAGGCTATTTAAAGCATTTATATATTAGGTTTATTCTTTACCTACCGGCATTAAATAGGCCTACGACTCATTGCTACCTTTGCGTTGGATTAGTGAGGTTTTGTTAACGTGTAGGCCTTTATCAAAATATTACATAACGATATGATAATTGAGTACCGTAGGTCAAGTAAAAAATAAATTCCGAACTACTAAAATCAGTTTTCTTTGAAAATTACAATCAGGTTGGATGTTATTGTCGAAATCCAATCCATACATAACATTCAATCAGAATTAGGAATTTGTTGAACACTGGTGTAACAATAGAAACTGCCAGAAAACAAGACAGATTGCAAAATACCAAATAAGAATCAGTAAAAAAATAATGAAACAATCGAAACATTTGGTGGTCCTCTTGGCAACACGTCTGACCTCACATTGTTGTCAATAATGACTATTCAATAATGTTTAGGTATCTCTTCATTCATAGTTGTAATAAACACCCGGCGTAAATAATTAGCATACAAAATCAACGGTTAACGGGCTTATTGAGCAGCTATGAGATTTTATTTGACTACATTCGGAGTGTGCAACTTCCTGAATACAACAATTATAACCGTGCTGGGCCACAGTATCGCAACCCTGCTGAACCGCTGTTGACTATTAAAGCAGCTCGAGTTTCTACCATCAAATTAACAAATGTTTCTTTTATTTTGAAAAAAAACACATGTTATCCCGCTTGTGGTGTTTAGTAGGCCTACGTACTCTTACTTAATCTATAAAAAGGCCCGGAATATATGACCCCTGTAAATCCCCAGAATTAAAATTAAAAATATCTTTACTGCAATCAAAGTAAACAGATTGAGTTAAACACTACTGAAATAAAGTTAAAACGCATAAAGACAAAAAATATTACACAATAAAATATAAATATTACAAAATTACGATACATTTATAGGGTTATCCCCTATATCATGTGATTTTATTCATTTTCATATTCATGCCGTTCTCAAATTGTTTATTGTATGTTTCCTGTATGGTATCGCAATGAATAAAATCAAATCTAACACTAAGTAATCCACAATAATAAGTCTGTACAAAGCATTAACTTAATTGATTTCCAATTAATAATTACCTTCCCATAACCATGTGATTATATGAAGAGATCCTAATCAATATTACTGACTACGGCCAACGATTCGGCTGCTATTAAAAGTGGACGTATTACCGACTATCACCACTGTTGTTTACTGTGGTCGAAGTGCTCACTACACAATAAGAATGTTTGTGATTGCTATCAAAATTTTGACGACATTGCTAAAAATAATACTGTTGGTAATAGTAACAGGCTTGCTGTTTCGTATAAGCAACGTGTAAGTATTCAGATTTTTCGTGACCTATGCCTACTATCAAAACAGTCTCATTTTTTCATTCGAAATTTTATTTGTACACATTAAAAAAAAAATAATACCATATCAGGCACAAAAATTTAAAAAAAGTAACCCACAAGTCCAGCTTACTAACATTTTGGCCTAACTTACTAAAATATTTAGGCCTATCAATTAAAATATGAATTCACGGTCTTGTGGTCTATCAACTCAGTGGTTGCAGTGGCTACACTAACGCTGAACTGAGCTACTTTATCTTCAAGGTGATTATAACCATAACTTTTTTTTCAGTTTAAAGATGTTCAATCAAAAGACAGGAGAATTCCTCAAAAATTAAAATAAAATTTTGAACAGCTCATTTAAAAGGATTAAATAAATTATTATCTTCTGGTACCAGGAAACAGGTTGAAAATTCTAGTTTTTATAGCCTGTTTACATAGAAATTTTACTACACAAAATGATTACCAGCCAATACAAGGATTTTTGTAAAATGTTTATCGATCGGTGAAAACTATTTTTCCGATCAGTTCCTTGGTGGAAACTAACAACTTATTTTATTCTTGTAAAATTAGCTACGGGTATTCAATTTTTGAAATTATTTATTGAGGTATTTTCCTGTTTTTGACTGATAGTACATCTTTAGATTGGTGGTATTACAGTTGTTACATTGTTTTTATATGTATTTGATACACATGTATGTTTTGTTTGGTTTGATATGTAATTTGGAATGTAAATTAAAATTGAATAGTTCGAAGTGGTTTATTGCGGTGTTAGTATAGCATATTGAACCGCAAGGCATTAAATGATATTTTGTGATGTTACTTTAAAAATATAATACCGTCGTAATAAGCAATCGATAAATTTTCGCCTATTTTTCATTTTTATTCTGCAAGAATAGTTCAATCATATTTGAAGAGCAGGAGCTGACGAATGCTACCGATGGAAGCGCTAATACGTCATTGTTGCATTCAAACTCCGGTACGTAGTACAGGTAACATTATAATCCGCGTATTTATGCAATACAACTCCTGTTTTGGGACACCCCTATTCAAAGTAGACTTAACTCCTATTGAAGGGGCAATTTTCCATGAAACAAGAATATATATTTAACACTACGGCCAATTAAAAGGACACGTTAATAAGGGGACAGGTACACATTTGAATTACCCAAAAATGGCGAAATAAACACCTATTTATCCACGATGATTGAGACACTTTATTATTGTTTCACCAAAACACAATAAAATCAAAATAATAAATTCATTCAAATATATATTTTGGCAACTTTTGTGCAATCATCTTCAACATCAAGCATTTTTATCTTGATCCTTAAATTGTATTGGTAGGCCTATGGCCCTTGCCTCGTATAAACCGATCTTGTCAATCTTGACTTGACCGTAGGTTTGTTTTTTTTTTGTTTCTTTTTCTCGTGGTACATTCATACAGTCCATATCGTTACTTGTATACATATTCCTAAGCCATTACGGTATTCAACAATACATATACTTCTCAGCTTGGGCATTAAGCTCAATAGTATATCAAGAAAAGAATAGTTAGTCCATTATTTTAATAGCACTTGAATCATGTTCCTGTACGTTGAAGTTGATTTTGTATCCTAAATATATTGTATTTGTATGTATTGTAAATTATTGTTACAAATTAGTTTAAATTGAAACCCAAGCAGATCTCAGAAAGGGGTTCTTCGATTGTTTCTCTCTTTTTCTATGAACGTCATATGCTCTACTGCACGTTGATTACTAAACCTAAATCAATGTAGTTCTTCTCTAATGTACGGAAATTACAGTTTAATTTTATTTATTGAAAAAATACATTTACTTTCAGAACCAGCAGAATCAGTGGCGGACGTATTATTCTCCGCATTTATCTTTCTTGCAATAATCGTTTTCGGAAGTGTCGCTTTTTTTGGTAACATCACCACAATATGTGTTGCATTAACTACGAAAGAAATACGAAGGAAACGCAGCAATTACCAAATAATGAATCTGGCTGTAAAAGATGCTATAATGGGGGCGTTGTTTATCGTAATGTTATGTACAATTGCACCCGAAGTAAATCATCTTTCTTTTATTGCGTTTGTACTAAGTCATTCATCTTCAATCACAATTTTGACAGTTGCAATGGAACGCTGTTTTGCTGTTATTGCGCCATTTCAACATATCCGGTACGTTACAAAGAAGGCATTGATCATTGTTATAGTCATAGATTGGTGTGTAAATATAAGTTTAGTTATTACTCATGAATTGGTATATTCATATTTTTATCGATATGCTTTTCAGGAAGTTACTTTTATTTATTGTCTTGGACTACTAATTGCTTCAGTGGTTACATTCCTCTTACATCTAGTGATGATTTTAGTTGTAAGGCGACATGCTTCAAATATTAACCAATTAACCAATGTATCGCAAAGAAGAATAAGGCAAAATACTAACCTGATAGTTACATTCGCATTGATTGCTGGAATATTTCTTGCCTGCTATTTACCGTTTGCTGTTACTATCTTAATCGACCTCATAAGGGGAAATTTAAATCTTCATAAGGCTAGAGTAATACTGTGTCCATTTTTGCCATTTAATTCAGCGGCTAATATGTTTATCTACTGGTGGCGAATTCCAGAATTTCAAATGGCTTATATGCGTACACTGTGTTGTCAGAGAAATACATAAGTCCCAAAAGGAAAGGTGATTAAACCCTGACCTACAGCAATGGAAACATATTGATAACAATATTAACTCAATAGGAGTATGCCTAAATTAATTAGGAAACTTAGGCAAATTAGTATAGTAGACCTACATATGTATACATTTCACAAAAACTAGGCCTTTCTTTCTACTTTTGGGCGGACAATGTTTATGTAGTCACAGGAATTTGTTCCTTCTCTGTATAGCTCCATCCGTCTCTTGTTGATCTTTTTTATCTTTGTAACGTAGTTGCAGACTTGATTGGAACAAATGGATATATTATAAATCCGATGTTGGTCTATTATGGGTTAAATTTACTAAAATAATTCTCGAATATATAGTATTGCGAATTATTACTACTATCTTAATTTTATATATTTGTAAATGATATGCATATCCTTAATCATATGTTAATGATAAACATTTTAAGGACTGTCCGACTATCAAATTTTATTTTACAAACACAAGTGACATGCCTTAACATGGTCATGATGACATGACATCATGACTATATATGAGCATATAGTCAAAAAGAATGTCATAGTCTGGCCAGGGCTTTAGTAGCTGTCATCCCAATTTGAAAATGTAGAATGGCAATGTATAGCCACTTTGCTTATAAAATAAAAATAATAATAATAAAAATAATAATAATAATAATAATAATAATAATAATAATAATAATAATAATAATAATAATAATAATAATAACAACAATAACAATAATAATAATAATAATAATAATAATAATAATAATAATAATAATATAGTAACACTTTATTTATTCACTTAGACAATAATAAAATACTATTGTCATAATATCGTGATAAAAAAAGAAAATTATTATAATAGGCCTATTTGTATTTCTACAAACGGAAATTATCTACATTATAAAACAATTATGGCATATGCCTAGTATAGCGAATTACTAGGCCTACTCAATTTTATATCTTTGTAAAAGGTACGAATATCTTTAATTGTTAATAATAAGCATCTTAAGCCCTGTCCAGACTATCAAATTTTATTTGACAAAAACATGTGATGCCTAAATTTAGACTGGGTTCCAGTCCCTAAACTTTGTTTTAATCAGTGAAAATGCTTGAAAAAATTAATCGAATTTGGCACCAAGTGCGTTCCATATTACTTATTTTATGTCGTCATAAAAAGTTTCTCAATATAACCAGACGCTGGTGGCGCTCTTCGAAAGTATCTAATAGAGTTCCTATGTAGAGTGTTAGAGTATCTAACACTAGGGAAAACCATTAATTAGAGGCTTGTGGCAAGTGTAGCCCAAATATATGTTCATGATATCACACCATGACCATATATAGGCACATCATGACTACATAAGAATACAACAGTTTTTTTGTCAAATAAAATGTGAGTCTACAGGGCTTTAATAGCTACCACCTCAATTTTTAAATGTAAAATGACAATTATATTAAAATATAGCACAATTCCGTGTATATATTATACTTCTTCAAGCTTTATTTGTGTTAAATGAATTCGTAATGACACACAAATTAGTCTGTAAAGTATACAGTATCAATTACTGATCTAAATAGAATGCTCCTCAAACTTTCTATAAATGTTCGAATACTGTAAGTGCCACTCTCGCATAAGCGCATCTCCCGAATAAGTATATATTACCCTGTGTGTAATGAAACACTTTGAGAACCAGGATTTTAAATACAATGTATACAGAGTTATGAATAAACAACACAATGAAGACACAAGCTGGCTTATAAACCTTTATTTACGATGACGTAGGACCTATGATAGGCCCACTGAACTACGGAAATACGTGAAGTAACATGCTATCGGGCATAGAAAGCGATACGCCAATATTTTTTGATAAGCTCCGCTCTCGATAATAAGCGCCGCTTTCGAATAAGCTTCGCACTGAAGCCTCTTAAAAAAACCAAAATGGTGAGCCCCATGCGAACATTAACAAACTTACATGATATGCAAAACTAAGCTCAATGTGAACATTTATTTGTCAACTTTATCAACCAAATAAAATTCCGATTCCGTTGGCTGCTGGCTGTTTAACTCAATCGACGAATATCTTGCACGAATAATTGTACGGAAGATTTTACCGATGAGAAAAACGCATCCTAAGATAAGTGCAATCAACTCGCAAATGTCGGCAGCGTTAGAGTCAAACTCAAAATTAAGACTTCCGAGGCTGGCAATTATTACGACAATGTAGGGTGTGAAAGTATAGCGAGTGTATTTTTCCCAGAACGTCACGTCTAGTCCGAAGTATATCGTAGTTGCTATTATGATCACAACATACAGTATTGTTGACGCCAACATGCCATCCACTTGGGTTGATTCCCCATACGTCAGAGCGATGGCACCATTAAGAAAGGACGCGACGAAAGCCCAAGTTGTGTACATTGAAAGGCCATTTTGAACAAGAAGGCGATTAGCCACTAAGTCGAACCTAAATAAAATAATAGAGGTATATTTATAAAGATGCAGAGTATGTACTTCTATCAAACAAGTGAAAGTATACCCAACACTGATTATTGTAAAAATGGTCAAGTCCCATTAAACCTTGCCAGTAAAAAAAACACACAATATGCTTTGTCTTTGTTTGAGTGATTGTGTTAGGCCTAATAATATACAATGTTATCACATTATACTATTTAAAGTCGGACGGAGAGCAGGGTCAAATTTAAAGATAAAACGTACCTGAGGTTCTTTTCCATATATGATTTATACTTTTCCACTCGTCTGTAATTGACCCAAAGACAAATGGCGCAAGACACCACAATAAATAACAAAACCAAGGAAGAATAGCCGATTAACTTCCGATCAAAGAGAAACAACCAAACGACCAGAAGCACCTGGTTGAGGCTGTACACCAAGGTAAATTCAGGTGGGAACACAGGTATAACTGTGTAAAGACGACCTTCCTCGTTTGAGCGACAAAATGTCGATAAAGCGTACGCAACCCATACGATCTCAAAGAAAAAGATAAATGCCCAAATGGAGAATGTCCAATCTGCTGGAGTTGCTTCGATTGGGAAATAATCTGAAATGTCTCCAGTCAGGTTTTTGAATAATCCAAGATCTGTTAAAGAGTAGAATATCGTCAAGTATAACTACCAGTAGTAAAATCTTGAAAAGGTCATTAAACATTGCATTTCTCTCAACTTCTAAGTGAAACAAATAAATTATGCGTTTTCACTGAGTTGTACACAATAGGGTTTCACCATTTTTACAGTGTTAAAATGTGGTTTGAATTGTAATCATAGAACACAATAAAAAAATGCTAAATGCTAAATTTAGCATAGCTTAACATTGCGGTTGTGATGATGATAATGAATGATAATAAGAATGTTGATGATGACGATGATGATGATGGTGATGACGAAGATGTTGGTGATGACGAAGATGATGTTGAAGAAAATGATAATGATATAGTTGACAACGATAATAATGATGATGATGCATATTCGCTGTCAACACCACGAACTGTAGAACAGAAGGATAAATTATTACACAAATATCGTCACTCTCCCACCCAATAAACAAGCAATGTTTCATATCCCTACATAACCACAAATATAACCGACAACATTTGTTAAGTAACAATACGTTCTATCTCAATTAAAAATAACCAAGCTATAAAAACAAAACAAAAACTTACTAACTCCGGCGCCAGTAGCTGATAGCTGAGCGATCACAAAACCTACAGCCGTAACGACTGCCATAACAACAGTACTTATGATGTACACGTTTTCTTTCGAAACACCCATTGTCATTCAGAGATCGGTAGTCTACGATGAAAACCCTGTAATATTCAAAACCATTAAAATACAAATTTTGAGCAACGAACAGGAATATATGCGTTAAGCCTGGTTTTTATAAAATGCGCTACACTGTAGCTGCATTTCTGCAATCGGGAATGCTCCTCGATTCGAACGACCAATGAGCGTCGCCGAAAGCTGCGGCAATAGGCTATAGCGATTTTATGGCAACAAAACATTTTCTTGATAGATAAACATTTACGTTACGGCATTGCACACAAAATGCGCTCTGTTGAGATACGGGATTTTGCCAAACATGGTAACAACACCAGAATTTTCAACATTTGCATTTCCACACAAACACAATATTGTAAAAAATAGTAACAAAACAACATAAACGTACAAACATACGTGTTTTTGGGACATGTGCGTATTCTTGACCCTAAATAATACCTTTTGATTGGTTGTCAAGGTAAATTAACTATCTTTTTGAAAAGTTAATTTTTTAAAGTTTTAAATGTTACAGGTATGCTAGTACATATTCAATGATACAGCTAGTTCTGAATAATTGAATTTTTGTGTGATTTGATTTATAGGGATATAGATTAATTTAAACTTGCGGTTCAAATAAACGATAAGGTATGGTGCCTCATCAACTCTCTGTGCTGGTAACCTTGATGTCAAAGTCACATTCAAAGTCAAAGAATTAACTCAAGTCAACACCCAAAACGGAAATTCCGTCGCTTGCATAAGTGTAAAATAATACTTAAATGAATAAGAAGTTACACAACTCCGGACAACATGGATACAAAATATAACAAATTGGTTTAACCTGTGAATAGGCCTATCCATCAGGGGTGGCACCAATAGAGGAGTGGCTCTCCCCACCCCCACCCCGCGGGGAAAATGGGGAGAATAAAAAAATTACATATTTTGTTTAACACACAGGCCTAGTAGACTCTAAAATCGATTAAGTAGGAATTTGAAAGCCCTAGATTGTCAATTTCCGAGGGTTGCAAATGTCCGTGTTCGGTCCTCCGGCAGAAACATCCTAGATCCAACCATAATCCAACACATCTTTAGGGAATGAAGAGTGTCCGGTGAGGCCTTCCTCGTGTCTGTGTCCTAATGATCGGGTGGAATGCTTGTATTAAGTTCGCGAAGTCTGCGTATTCTATATTTTTATACATGGGAATTTAAAACGGGGTCATCTCAACTGTTTTTAAGAAGTTACTTAAGTCTATACATAATGTTGTTATAATTTTGAACTGAAAGCGCGCGACAAAAGTTTGAATATTTTAATTTTTTTTAAATTTATATCTTAAATGAGAATAACTGCATATCGATGTGTTGTTTGAACAAAGGAAACAAATCACAATCTATTGTATATAGTAAGCCTATCTGTGATCATGTCAAGGAGGTTGCATAACCAGGTTAACCTTCTTGCCTTGTTTATGCAACGCCGTCTTCAGCATGACGTCAGCGCTCAGCTTATATAACCTCGAAATATTAACGTTGACCTTAGTTGACCGTTATACAATTTTTGCATACAGCCCAACCGTTTATTTATTACGGCGACAAAACAAGACTATATGCAGCCATGCATAGATGTGAAATAAATATTTGTAGGCCTATATTCTATTATGTATATTACAAATTACGTATTTGTTGAGACACAACCAGAAGACGAAAAACCAATTGAATAAGGTTCACGTTACAAACCAGTAAACAATAGGCCTACACATTAACCTTTCTCTAAATCCAGATGCCTGTTTAATTTGTTTACCTACAAGATGATTGGCAAACCTAGGTTACCTCCATGCATAAACTCTTGAGCAATGATCCTAAACTAAAACTAACTCACCTATCCAGTCATTAAGATTTTTTTACTAACGATTCAGAAATAGACAAACTGCACACAAATGCTATAGATGCCCGGAAAATATTTGAAGACTACCACCCATTGCTAGACATTCGAGTAAATTTTAAAATTATAAACCCCAAATTATCAATTATTAACTTTAACTTACCAACGAAACTCACGATAACTATCGGGCGAACAAGACGCTGTGTAGCAAAATATCGTTGGTATTTATAGTGCCTCAAAGCATTATGGGAAGGAAGCTAAACCAAGTTGTTGAATATTCAGAAGATTACCATTCCTCTTCTCATCTTCATAATCGCAATCATAATCAAATTATTCACGATAGAGTTCGATAGTAGCATTAATGTCATCTTTATAATCATAATCGTAATCATAATCAGTCATATGCCTATCATATTCATAACCACAAACATAACCACAATTGGTTAGGATTAACCATAGCCATAGGCCTAACGGAATAGCATTTGCAGTAGGCCTACCCGCTGGTCCTTGGGAATTGGATTCTACGCCCAGGCTACGCATGGAGGAAATAACGGTAGTAATCTAGAGGTCGTGGTTCGATTCCCATCCGAATCACTTACAATGGGGTTTTTTCCGTTCGCAAGTTTGTTGGGAACTAAGTACTAAGTATGTCTCTTATACACATCTAGATGTGTATAAGAGACAGGTGGAGTTTCATGTAAATGTTTCGTACGGAAAAAAAATTCGCAGGCGGCGAGATGAACAGCGAATATAGCTCTGGAATTAACAGCGCAGGAACAGTGCAGGAACAGTGCAGAGCCATATATATAAAGAGTTGCGACATTCCGCTCCTTGGTTTACGAAAGTCACGTGGTACACACCGTCCATTTTGTTTCATAATCTTCCCGATGAACACATGCAAAGTATATGTGTTACGTACATTGCATATATAGTGAATGGACTAGATTGTTCAAAACCCCAAAATGGTGGTAGTCTACATTTTTGTTTATCACATTCGAATAAATTCTTAAATATTCTAGAAACCACTAAATCTAGATAAATACATTTGGCATTGCTTGAAAGCTGAATTAATATACTATGTTCTTGAAATATTACAGAAATGAATAGTGGTTGAAAATGCAAGGGGCCTAAGGTCAGTGGCGTAACGACCGTGAGCTCGCGGCGGCGGACCCCGGTCCCCCACTAAAAAAAAAAGCTCCTACTACCTAACACTTTACTACGGAGTATTATTAACAGTATCGTAACGCATGTGCATTTTGTGGTCATGTCCCAGTTCAAATGGGCCCCGGAGAGGCCACGGGGTCCCTCTTCTACCAAGCTCTCTACTAGTACTACAACGCCATGACAATACGGTACTTTTTCCTATAATTTAAATAGACCGAAATCGCACAAAAACACTCTTGGGAAGATATATAGAGGGAGCCCTTTGTACTACGACCCAGTATTTTACTATGGGGTTTGACCAGTTATGTAACGCCGTGCTTTCTAAGGAAACGCCCAGTTCCAAGTTCAAATGAGCTCCGGAGCTCCCACGCTCCCTCTCCTCTTACTACTACAAAGCACTACTCGGATGCTTTTGACAACACATTTTCTTTTAATTTTTAAAAATGATAGGACCTCGGTCTGTTTTATGAAGGTTCTTCTCATCTTTTATCCACTTTTTAACATTATAAAAGCTTAATTTGTAAATTGAAATTGATTTGATGAATAAAGAATTGAAATGAATGATTCGTGGTATCAAAGTGACACTTTATCAGAACAATATATTATTTTGGTTACCTAAAGGTATTTTCAAGCCTAGACGACCCGATAAAAATGCTCCAGAATTCGTAGGCCTACTACAAATACAGCCTATTATTTAAAGTGTTGGAATGGATGGTACCGTACACCTTATAGAATATAACCAGGGGTAGATCTAAAGAAAAATCTGGGCAGGGGCCGGAGGGGTGTGGGGTTGGTTTTGGGATTTTTGTTTAGAAATGCTTGAGACCATAGACTGATGGAATCGAATAAAAAATTAGCTTGTGATTGAATGATTGTTTGATAATGATGGAAAAGCTTCATTGGAACTTAAATCAATACATTCATGATTAAGTATATATAACACGCTAATTAAATGCACGACGCAAATGACGATTTATGCACAGAACTAATTTATATATCGTTGCACGCCAATATTCAAATTAAAAATGTGTGAAAAATATTAGTTGTTAAATAGTCGCACGACATTTTTTGACATTTTCTAATAAATATGGAGATTGTCCATCACGGTTAATTCGTAAGCGAAAATAATTTAGTGATATGTAAGAGCACCCTAACATGCTCTCACCCCCACCCCAGGTCCTATTACTCGTTACGTCATTGATTAGTGTGGGGGGGATGAAGCGAGGCGCCCTTACACCAATTGATTATCATGAAATATTTTGATGGGTCTTTTTTTTTTTTACACGTTAGTAAATTAGTTAGTTAGTGGTTTTGCCAATGTATGGGGGAATATGCCGATATATATCGAATGAGCCAGTTGCGGCCTAAGGCACATTGATTTTAGACAGTGAGAGCTACTCATTGCTGTTACACCAGTGCTGCAAAGTTGCCCACAACTTAATCTTGGCGAATAACTACAAAATTGGTTTCAAGAATGAAACCAATGTTCTACTGTAACATGTTTTATGATGAAGATACAAAATATTATTTAGGAACAGAATAAATAATTCATTTAGGTTTTCAGGTTTTTGTAATTTGCGGTTCACTCGTACCCATACACTGTATGGAGTGTTACTGTAAGGATTTTATTTTACTAATTAAAATTTAAAGGATAAAATTCATAGGATCTTACGTTCTTGTAATAGCTAATGTTTTAAATTTATATTCCACTTCATATTTTGTAATGCTTGTAAATTATTATTTTTTCTTTATATTAATTTCAAATAAAGGTACAGTACAATAAACACTAACAGATCTATTCTTTTTCAGCACTATTTATTATAATGAACTTCATGTTATCTTAAGTGTTGTACTAATATAATTATAGTTTCTCTCTGATATTAACACCTGAGTTTACATATGCAATGCTACAACAGAAAAAAATAATAGAATCATTTTGTTCCGAACTTATACGTTTGAACAAACTATTTGAACTTATACGATTTAAAATTGTAGGAGAAAACATAAATACATAATACTTTTGTAGATTATTCATGCAAGGAAAATATATACACACAAAAATACATAATGAAAATAAAAAAGAATAAATACATGATGACAATGTTAGATATTAATTTAATATTATAATTCGTAATAGGATAATATTTATTACATTTCTATAAATCTCACTTTGAAGTATCATCTATTGTCAAAATACAAATTATTATAACAAAAATACTATGTGCAATATTTAATGATCACTAAATAAAACATATAATGCATATAATCAATGAGTATACAGTGCACTACCCACATTTTTAAGTCCCAAAGGTGGTTTCCAATGCAGTTCTATTTATACTCTTTGAGATAATACAATACAAAAACCAAAGGATACAGTATTTATTATTAGCAAAAAAAATATGGTATGGTAACTCCAAAGAATGACAACCGTGAGGCCATAATTCATTCTATGTTGCGTTCTTCTTGAAAATGTTCAAATAAAGAACAAAACAGAATAAATTATGGAATCACAGGTTGTCATTCTTCGGAGTTACCAAATGAATAAAATAGCAATTCTTCACAAAATAATAATAATTTACTTTAGTTAAATGAACTCAAACTTTTCCCTGAAGTCTACATATTTTCTTTACAGGTTGAAATATAGTAAATAAAAATGCTCCTTAAACTTTACAAAAAACGAAATCCAATCTGGAGTTTACCAAAACAGACCATTTACAGACATATGAAACGAAAATGTCGAAAAGTATTTGCAAAATAAGTAAAAAAAATTGTGTTTACAGGTAGGTGGTTTAATCATCCTATTAGAACTAACATGTTGCACTAAAGCATGTACGGATGAGTTTACCGATCAGGAAGACGCAACCCAGGATAAGAGCTACAAACTCACAAATGGACAAAGTGGTGTCAAGGTCAAAATCGAAATTGAGGCTTCCAAGACTGGCAACAATCACGACGATGTAGGGTGTTAGGGTATAGCGAGTGTATTTTTCCCAGACTGACATGTCTAGCGAAAAGTACAAAGTAGCTACTAATATGATCACGATATACATTATTGTGGATGCCAACTCGCCATCCACCATCGCTTCATACTTCAAAACAACGGCGCCATTAATAAGGGTTGCGACGAGGGTCCAGGTGGTGTACATTGCAATGCCATTCTGAACCAGAAGACGGTTAGCCACTAAGTCACCCCTAAAGTAAATAAAACAATATGGAATAAAAAGTTTCATTAAATTCTTTTGCAGTACACTGTATTTAATAATTATGTTAAACTGTATATTGAACTTCAAATTACAATTAATAATTTAATAATAATAATTTAATTTAATCATCTTTTTTAATGATATTATACAGTATTTATTCTCTAAAATTAAAAGCAATATTGACATTTGAAACAAAACTTACATTAGGTTTTGTTGCATGTATGACTTATACTGATCTACTTGTCTGTAATTAATCCAAAGACAGAGGGCGCCAGTCACAAAAACAAACAACAAATCTAAGCCAGAATAGCTGATGTATTTCCGATCCCAGAGGAACAACCAACCGACCATGAGCACCTGGTTGATGCTGTACAGCGACGTGAATCCAGGTGGTAGAACAGGTGCAACTGAATAGACCGGGCCTTGTTTGGTCGAGCGACATAATGTCGATAATGCGTATACAATCCAGAGCATCTCAAAACAGTAGATGAAACCCCAAATGGAGAATGTCCAATCGGCTGGAGTTGCTTCGAGTTGGTAAAAATGCGACAAGTTTCCAATGGTGTTGTGGAATATTCCAAGATCTAAAGTATTATTAAGTGGATTGAATAGTAATGTTAAAGCCAGGCTCCAGAGAAAAAAAAATTTGTTGATGTTGTACAAATTACTTTTCTGGGATACAAAACACATTTGACGAAAAAGTTAATGAGATACAGATACTTGAATATAAAAAAAAGAAAAAGAGGCGAAACCACACTTTTTTCACACTTTCCCCCAGTTTTTTTAAATATAGAAAAATATGTATCTCATTAACTGTTTTTTGTCAAATATTGTTTTTGTGTCTTTTGTATGATATGTGCAACATGTATTAAAAAGGTCTATTTTCCTGCGAAGCGTGACTTTAAGCAGACATGGATATAAAAATAGGTCAAAGGGTCAAACTGAATTTTTGATTTAATACTGAGGGTTGTATCCAACATTTCCGGAAAAACCTTCAGGCACTGCTTTGATACAATTTTATGCTTCAGATTTTTATATTAATACTGTTTAGAAATGGTCGGTGTCGGGCAATAAAATCAAGGGGTTTTCTAGAGAAAGATGGTAAGCGGGATGCACAAATATGGTTGCCACACTATACCTGCCTACCAGTGTTGTAACATAGAGGTACAATAATACCTACATGGCATGTACATATTTTACTTTCTATTTAATGCTCAAATCACTGCAATTTAGCTTCTCGCTGCTAACTGATTCTTAAAACACTTGAACTTGATAAAAATAATATATTTGTTTAGTTCAATAATAAGATTTTTCATTATCTGTATCAATCATCAAAACTTCTACTTCTTCCTATTGTATAGTGCTAGTAAGCCAGTGCTGGAGTTTGTTAAATCCAGGCTATGGAGGTAAACTGGGAAGCGGTTAATGAGTGGTTATGCATGTTTCCCCCAGTTTTTAAATATTTAAAAATCTGATCTCATTAACCACATCAGTTTTTCTGCAAATATATGCTTTTTTATGTCTCAGAATAAATTTTTCTCAGGAGCCTGGTACAGCAGTACATCACCTTATCCATCCTTAATTACGCCAGCCTAACAACATGTTTCTTAATAACTTAAATTTTTGTAATTGAAAAATTTATGAAACCCACTCACCAATTCCGATGCCTGACCCTGCAAGGCTAGAGAACACAATACCAGCAATCGCAAAGAGGGTCATAAGACCAGTGCTTAGGAAGTATGTACATGCTTTCGAACAACTCATTTTCAATGTAAGTTTGGTAGTCAACAATTAAAACTGTATTTGAAACAAAATAAAGACATTGTAAATTTTGTGTGTACTAATGGTTGGTTAAATATTATACAGTAGCTTCTCTGATCTATACACAGTACATCTGAAATAAATTCTAAATTGGTGTAACCAGAGTGTTGTTATATTGCTATAACAACTCCCTGGTGTAACAAAACCACTGCCTATTTTTCTAAAAGCCAATCATGAAAATAAAACTTTCCTAATGCAAATAATTGAAATAGTTTGGCATTTCGGCCATGTTTCTGCAGAATTTCAATATATTATAAAATATATTTTTGGAATACCTCCAAATTTTGTGGTCCATCATGCAAAATTATGACAAAAATGCAAGGTCTTCTACATCAAACACCAATTTGTTGGGTAATAACTGCTACATAAACATGACCTTAGTTAGCCTGGTCACAATATTAATCAGCCTGTTTTGTAATATTTATCATTAATTCTGAAGTTGCTTAAATATTAGTTTCTGTTCGTGTGTATGAGTGTAACTTTAATCAGTTGCATTTTAGTATTTTACAAACTCCATTAATCATGACTACAAATTTGAACAAGCTATCTTAATATGACAGTTAATCAGATGGCATTGTTGTGAACGGACGTATGCGCTGCATAGCTCCCAATTTAGCATAATAATGAGCCAGAAACCAAAAAGAACCGCTTCGAAGCAGCCTGTCGGTGAAGACGATGATTTTGAATCCTTCGTTAAGCAGTCACTAGAGAAATTGATTAACGGACAGAAAGCTGTTGAACATAAATTATCTGAATCCATTGAATGGAATGCCAAACGAATAGCTGAGTTAGAAAGGTCAGGAAAAGCAAAGGACAAGAAACTGAAACTATTGGAGGCTGAATTAGAGCAAGTAAGTGTTGAAATGGATAAAATTAAGAGTGAGCTTAATAGAACACAGCGGTACTCAAGAAGAAACAACATAAGAATTATTGGAATGAAAATAACTGATGGTGAAAACTGTATACTTAAAGTAGAATCTTTATTACTGTCTCTTATACACATCTAGATGTGTATAAGAGACAGGTACATATACTATGTACTTTAAATAGAAAACGCATGTTAAAATCAAAAAATAATTTTGATAAGGCCCTGATGACAAGAGCAAAATGTTTGTGTTGCTTAAGTCCAGTCAACCAATCAACCCTAAATTATGAAAATAATATTTTGTTTATTTTTCCAATAAATCTTTAAATTGACCAGTAACATAACATTAGGACGTTATTTGAGCATGCAACTTGTCTTAGTTATGAAAAATTGGAGCTGGAGTCTTCCCAGTTGGTTCACCTTTGCACACCCCGACCCTGGTTACATAGCTTATTATTGTATCATGTTTGTCGACAGCCAACGAGAGGCTGAAAAGTTAATTTAAATAAAACTAGAATAAGCATATGGCATGTTTGAATAAATTTTGGTGACGCTACAATTTTTCTGGAGTGTCAATCAAACTTAACAACCCGCCAATCAAGACAGGGCCAGAAATATGCACATGTTTAACAAGCACACGTTTAACAAGCACACGTGTTCATGTCCCACAAATGCACTTGTTCGCGTATCTTTTAACACTGCTGTTTTGTAGGGCTTTTGCAACAATATTCAAGGGCGGGGCTTGTGTTCAGCAAAATTTCACATATCAGTAAACATCACGCCAACAGATCTTTATCGGTCTTGTAAATTTATTACTTCATGATTTAAAAAATTACTATATACAACAATGTAAATTCAGAAAACAGAAAAAATAACAGAAACAACCTGTATATGATTATGAGCACATTAATTCATGTTTTAACACTGTTTATCAGTTAACATGAACGTACATGCATAATAAAAAGATCTCCATGACCAATTAAAGACAGCTTTTGGGACCATGGTTGTCACTGGTCTTTAGCAACTCTAGTTTCTAATATAAAATTGGGACCACAAAAAAAAAGTGGTTTTTAATTTGGAGGTGGTCTTTAATTGGATGGTCTTTAATTAGAGGGAAACATGTAAATAAAACTCATTACTTAGCTAAAAATATTGTACTGTATTAATAACCATATTAAATACAATATATTATATTTTATTTGCTAAATGAATCAGTTTTTAAGCACCGACTTTAATCTCATGGTGAAATTAACAATACTACATTACTACAATAATAAAACTAATGTCAAATCAAGTGAAATAATGTTTTCATATTCCTGAAATATTGAAGTTTTGTATTAATGATAATATAAAACATATTTTTCTATTTCTAATCTCATGGTGAAATTAACAATAAAGTACTACATAAAATAATAAAACTAAGGTCAAATCAAGTAAAATAATTTTTTTTTAATATTCTTGAAATATTGAAGTAATGTATTAATAATTATGATATTAAATATAATATTTTTTAAATTGCAACAGGAATCAGTTTTCAAATACCAACTCTAATCTCACAGTGAAATTTCCAATACTACATAAATAATAATAAAACTAATTTCAAATCAAGTGAAACAATGTTTTTATATTCCTGAAATATTAAAGTTTTGATATCACAAACGAATAGCATTTGGAAGCTATTTATCCTAATATGACTAACGTGCTGCAATAATAATTGTACGGAGGAGTTTACCAATCAGAAAAACGCAACCTAAGATAACAGCAATTAACTGAGAAATTGAAGAAGTGCTGTCAGGGTCGTAATCAAAGTCCAGACTTCCGAGGCTGGCAACTATCACGACGATGTAGGGTGTGAGGGTGTAGCGAGTGTATTTTTCCCAGATAGTCACATCTAGTAGGAAGTATAGAGTAGATACTAATATGACAAGGATATACATTATTGTGGATGCCAATGCGTCATCCACCATCGCTCTATACGTAAGAGTGATGGCACTATTGAGAAGGGTAGCGACGAGAATCCAGGTGGTGTACATTGCAACGCCGTTCTGAACCAGGAGACGGTTAGCCACCAAGTCACCCCTGGAATAAAAGAATATAGGAATATTGGTAACAATCCAGACTATAATTACATCTACAATTATAAACATATTTTAAAAAATCACTGTATCGTGAGGCAGTATGTTAACCAAAAAATAGTTTGTAATATGTACTCTGTATAAATATAATGGTTGAAATTTTTTTATGATTTTTTTTGTTGTGAAAGTATAAATTTTGCTGATAATTTGACCACAAAACTATGTTTTTGTTACATTTTATTTTATTATGTTTAATATACAGTGACATAAGATATAGTACTGTATACGTACATGAGGTTTTCTTGCATGTATGACTTATACTCTTCTACTAGTCTGTAGTTGATCACAAGACAGAGGGCCCCAGTCACAAAAATAAACAACAAATCCACGCTAGAATAGCTGAGGTATTCCCGATCAAAGAGGAACAACCAACCAATCAGAAGCAATTGGTTGACGCAAAAAAGCAAGGTAAAACTAGGCGGCAGAACTGGAGCAACAGAGTAAACCTGGCCTTGTTTTGTAGAGCGGCATAATGCAGATAAGGCGTATACGATCCAGAGAATCTCCAACAAAAAGATGAATCCCCAAATTGAGAATGTCCAATCGGCTGGAGTTGCTTCAATATGATATTTATCCGACAGTTCTTTATTGGTGGTGTGAAATAACCCAAGCTCTATTAAGAAGTAGAATAGTTTGAAAAATTAAAAAAAAAACCTCCTTTCAAATATTGAACCACACATATTTAAAGTATAAAATGACAGTACTGTACTTGTCATGATGACGATGAGGATGTAGATGATGTTGATGATAACACATGACAACTCCACTAACAAATATCTGGAGCAGAATTTTCAAATACAGTACTGTAAACCAATTCATCAATTTGATAATTTATATCCACACACACGAAGTGCATTTTCCCATGAAACACATTAACAAATAACGAAAATTCATCCCTTTACATGATCAGACATTATGAATAAGACATGTAATACATAAAATTCTGTCTGTTAACTGAAAATCCACAATCCTTAATAAAAATTGCTTTATCTCACCTTTTCCTATCGGTGAATTTGCTAAGACAGCTAGTACAGCACTTGCAATCGCAATGATTGTCATTAAAACAGTGCTTAAGACGTACAAAGTACTCATTCTCATTCACTGTCTGTAGCCTAAAGTATGAGGAATACCTGTAACAAGTGAAACCAAATGGCAAAACAACCTTGTGTTATTAGGTCAATACAATAACAACTAAAATCAAATGGGGGCCTTATCTACAGGATATTTACCTAATTAATTGATAAATAGAAAGAGATAATACAACTGTTTTAAGCAGGTTGAGCAATAGGCTAGATATGTAGCTATTAGTAGTACTACTACATAGTTACCAACCGACTCCCATCGTGCGGAACAGTCCCACATTTGAAAGTGATTTTGGATGAAACACACATTTTGCAGAAACATATGTGTGACCATAAATTTGTTACGCATTTAGTATAAGTGTATGCGTGATAACAAATTATTACGAATTCAGGGGAAAATGTATTTAAAATTAAAAGAAACTGGTTTTAGTAAAATATATATAACGGTCATACAGTAATGAGTCACTATTAGAGAGGTACTCGTTACCTCGTTCAATAATCAATTCACCACGAAAATTTCTTTTTTGAGCAAAATAACTCAGCCAGCCACACACTTAGTAGAATGAGGCGCGTACGGTCTTGCACGTTCATTGTCACAACCAACTGTTGATCATAATGTATGACTCAAACCTGACCCCAACCAGCCCCTCCCCCATTTGTGTAGCCACAAATTTCAAATCTCTCAGGTTGGTAACAATGGTACACTAGGCCCTAGGACTAGTACTACAGTACTTTGAGGTCTAGGCTAGTAGCCTGCCTAAAAAGTAAGAACACATTACTGCTTTTTATCTCTCCAGTTCCCCATCATGGTCCGGATCAATGTTTTCCATTTTTACGTCATCATCACACTTTATTTCATCTTATCCTTTGATTATATACCAAGATACAGACATTCTATTTTATTCACTGAGAAAACGTTTCAGAATTGGGCATAACCTACCATAGGACTAGATAGTTCGCTGGGCCCTGATCCTGTCTTACTCAGCCAGGTCAGGAGGAGGTAGCCAGATAGTGTTGTGATACATTACTTACACAGTTTAGCCTAGGCCTACGGCCTAGCCTTACGAGATTGCCACCGCAAATCTATTCTTGGCCCTAGCCTGACGCCAGACAGTAAATACATTTAACCTATAAGTTTTCTAAATTAGACATATCTATTTAGATTAATTTAAATAGAACAATACAAAATCTATAAACTACAAACCTGTAAGTTCGTAAAGAAAGTCAAACTTCCAACTTCCCAGCCTTCTTCGTCGCGATCAAAGATACTAGAAATACAAGATAGAGTTCTCCACACAAAAAAAGTGTTCCACTGTGTTCCACCGAAATGCATGGTGGGAATACGAAAAATGGGACGCCCCCTACAGCTGGATCTAAAAAAACTTGTGCCAAACTTTCGTTACCAAGTCGTCGCGTATTTTATTATCAATTCTCAACAAAGATACTAGGATATAAAAACAAACTGAAATAGACACCCAGACAGTGACATCGTTGAATACATAACCTCCTTGGTGGCGGTAGAGATCGTTGCTATTATCCAAATAATACATAAAACAATTAAAGCATAATCATGAATCAGTAAAGAATAAAACAACAATACAGCGCAGAATCGCATAGCCGGACGCACTCTTAGTGAAACAGTTTTCCTCCATTAGTGGAAAAGGAAGGGCGCCTTTTGCGTCTGGATATACTTAGCAACAGAAGGGCGCCCTGTACGTTGGGCACGAAGTATAGGAAACTTGCATGGTTAAAAAGAAGGGCGCCGCCTACGTTGGGCACGACTTCCGCCTCATTTTTACAATGCGAGAACTCTATCTTGTATTTCTAGTATCTTTGGTCGCGATCGCGAAACCTCAAGAGCATGACATTGAATATTCATGATTCGCGCACTTCGTACTATGGAACGCAGAACACGCAATAATATCGATCATTAGAACTCTACCTTGCCTTGCATCGATGATTTTATTTTTATTTCAACATTCTTTAATGAGGGTGGTCCATCCAACCGAAGCTGATCATTGGTGACCCTCAATACACAGAGTAAAACAAAACAAAAACGAGTATTATAGTAATTACTTTCAAGTAAAATTAATAACAACTTTTCAATTCAAAACTTACATGAAGAATTAATTCAAAATTATATAAAAAACCTAAAATTAAAATTAAATTACAATTAAAGATGTATATGAATTGAGCATGATTAAAAAACAATAGACAAAAGAGACATAAAAACAAGAAAGAAAGAAAAAAAAGTTGAGAATAAAGTAGCCCAAATCAAGTAATCATATAAAGTAATAATAGATAATAGGCCTATGCATATGAGAACAATAAATCAAATCATTATTAATTTAAGGAAAATAAATCAATTCAAATTAATATATAAAACAGAAAATAAATAATAAGGTAGGATGGCCATTCCGGTCTCCATGGCGATATGAAAGTAAGCTAATGTTGCTCGACACAGTAATTTTGTTTCATTTTCTCATTTATTTTAAACTAATCTGTAATTGATTTTAATTTTTCATCTGACCATCTGTCCTATTTTGAAATTTCAGTGAAAAAAAATAACATTATGGCTGTACCTAGGCCATATTTTTTTTTCAACCCAGAGGAGGAAGGATCAATATAATACAACATATATCTCTCTCATTCGAATTTAAATTGCCAAAGTGATACGTAAACAGCGTTTTATAACAAGGTGCTAAAAGTCATCGAAGTTATGTAAGTTAGAGGTGACGTCACAAGAGAAGGTGGTGTTATATAACGGCATTGTGATTGGTCAAAGGTCAAGTGGCATAATGAACTGCATATGCATTTATGAGCTACCAGCCCACCATACCACGGATGTGAAGAGCTAACTCGGGCTATGGCACAGGAGGAAATTGTCCTCACCACCACCACCATCACCATCATCATCATTATCATCATCAGATGTGCAATTAAATTACAGCAATATTGTAACAATTTTTCGTAATACTACATTCACCATCGCTGTATTATTCTTATCCCCTTTTAATATTCATGGCCATTTGCTAAGCACAGGCTGTTTTAATTTTACCACAGACCCTATATAGGGTCTGTGATTTTACTGTGGTGTGGGAGGTATTATAGTCCTCTATGATTTTACGAGTGGTGGCGACATAGCGAAGAGAGAGAAACTGCTTTATTTTCCCTTTGGTTTAATTTTTGGGGTGTAAGACGTGTTGCGGGGGAAGTGATATGAGTAAGATGACATAGGGGGTTGCAGTCAATTTATGGTAAATTGATTGTCATGATAAAAGGCGTGGAAATTAATTCATGTATATGCAGTGATAAAGCAGACAAGCGTTGGAAAATTGTAAGAAATTTATACGAAATATATATCTAGCCGGTATAGCCTAACGCTAGTATTCGTTTAAATGTATACAGCATATCAGCGATGATTAGTGAGGACGTACAACCCCAATTTTTTAGTAAAATTGAGTTTTTCCGGTAAAATATATCATTAACAGACACAAGTTAGGTAAATAATGTTACTCAGTGTTCGTGGTATCACAATAAGCCGTTGCGGTCATTTATTATAATAAACTTCATTCAATAAACACATAAGAATAATTGGTTTCAACTGAGTTGTTAATCCAGGTTGAAAGAAATAAAGAAAAATTAATAAATAGATAAAATGGTACAACAGAAAAACAATAGAAACAATCCGTTTGTGGAATCTGTAATCGATTACATTAATTTATTTGACACATTTAGCTCACAAAAGAATGCTCTTTTAAACATTAACTATAATTTCGACATTGATAGGCCTATATGAAATTATTAGCACTGTATTTAAAATTATAATATTAATAAAGATAATATTTTATTCAATATTGACGTCAGTAATTAACATGATGACATTAATATTATTACAAAATTAAAATTTATCAATAGGCCTAGGCTACATTAAACATACGCTGAAATATGATACGCAAATGTGGACAAATACTTGTAAAATCGAGTACAAAATTTTTTTAAAGAATGACACTGATAGGCCTATACCGTAACATTTGGTCATATTAAGCCGGACACTCACTGCACCATACGACGATCATATACGACCTTCGGCTGACGAATCCAGTTCTGCTCCATGTGAGCGCTAGGCGATGCGACGTCGTCTGCTGTTGATTGTCTGAACGGATCTCACTAGAAAAGATCCGTTGCTCGTCAGCGCGCCGACGACCGTCGGCGGGCGCGCAGTGTGTTCCCGGCTTTATAAGACGTAATAGGACTAACGTGTAATAACTGTACGGAAAATTTTACCAACAAGATAAACGATACCTAAGATAATAGATATCAACATGGTAATTGATGCTGAGCTGCTAGGGTCGAAATTAAAATTAAGGCTCCCTAGGCTGGCAACTATTACAACGATGTATGGTGTGAAAGTATACCGAGTGTATTTGTTCCAGACAGTAACATCTAGCACGAAGTATAGCGTAGTTATTATTATGATAAGGATATACATAATAGTAGACGATAACGTGTCGTCCACATTCGCTTTATACGTCAGAGTGATGGCACTATTAAGAAGAGTAGCAACGAGAGTCCAGGTTGTGTAGAGTGCGACGCCGTTCTGAACCAGAACACGGTTAGCCAACAAATCTTGCCTAAAATTTTTAAAAAGACAAATAGACGTTAAAAACAATAGAGAACAAAATAAAACAATACAATATACAAATTATCATTGTGTGTAATGATTAAAGATGCCTTTCAAAATTGTAATTAGTGGTAATATTTTCATGATGTTTTGTATCTATTAGAGTGTATTTAAGTAAATATACAATGATGCCGAAAGGTCCACTGATTAATCTAAGATAAGATAGTACAATACATACTCCAAGTATCGAAATGATGATGACATAATTAATGTCGAAATATTGAATCCCGACACGATGGCGTGCATTTCGATACTTGGAGTATGTACTACTTATGCAATGATGCCATACATATTTTGTAACATGATTAGCAATATCAAATTCTGACGTACGGGAGATTCTCTTGCATGTATGACTGGTACTTATCCACTCGTCTGAAATTGATCAGAAGACAGATGAAGCCAGTCACAAAAATAAACAACAAATCGATGCTCGAATATCCGATGAATTCCCGATCAAATAGAAACAACCAACCGATCAAAAGCAGTTGGTTCACGCTGTACAGTAAGGTATACTCAGGTGGTAGAACGGGCGCAACTACGTAGACAGGGCCTTGTTTGGTTGAGCGGCATAATGTTGATAAAGCATATGCGATCCAGAGGATCTCAAACACGAAGATGAATAACCAAATGGAGAATGCCCAACCTGCGGGGGTAGCTTCGATTTCGTACAATGCCGACACCTCTGTAATGGTGTAGTTGAATATTCCGAGTTCTATTAAGAAATTTAAAAAAAATAACGTTAGGATTATTTTACTGTGTATAAAACCTGAAAACTCATTAAACCAATCAAATCAAACATTTGAATTCCTATTTTATATTGGATCAAATATGTTAACACATTTTAATTTAAAAAATTGGCCTTTCCGGAGTGTAAATCAAACTTAACAACTGGCCAATCAGAACAAGGTGTACAATGCGCATGTCCCCGTGTTGTCCCACACAAAAATAACACTTATATTTACGTACGTTTAGGCTGTTATACAGGACCTTACGCAAAATATTGGAGGGACTTAGAGAAGATCCGTTGCTATAGTATTCAAAATATTTCAAATACGTTTATATAAAAGAATAAGCTTAAACTTTCAGAAAAAATAGAGAAATGTAGATTTTAACAATAAAAATACCAGGCTATAAGGCTTTAAAAAAGGCGCTCAACTTACCAACCCCGACACCTGATCCTGCTAGGGCAGCCAGCAGAGCACTTACACCCGCAATGACTGTCATAAGCACAGTGCTTAGGATGTACGCGCATGCTGTAAAACCACTCATTTTCAATTAGCGTTTAGTAGCCAACAATGAAATGTCTGTAATATATTTGAAAAAAAACTGCATTGAAATAATATGTTTCAGCAAAAGTGGGTTAAAGTATACGGCGATAGTCACAAACCACGCCCAGCACCCTTATCGTTATCTTTATGCGTAAGTACAAGCCTGCCTAATTGTTTATTGATTTACGTATTAAAATCTTTTGTACACGCAGTTATCCAAGATACAGATCAAGTGCAAATTTGAGGTCTTAATTCACAGGGCTTGGGAATATAAATATGAACTCTGTTAAGTTTAACCACACAGACTAAAGTTTAAGCAGCTATAGAATAATACTAAAACATTTACAAAACATGCTGATTTGGGACAAGGTCTTAAATGATTTACTGATTTACTGGTAATTGTTTGCTAAAAGAACATTTTAATTTACATATTTGGCTAGAAATACAACATTTTGAGTGTTTGATTTTTAGTTGTTAAGGCCATGCAAGACAAACAGCAACTCAATTTGTTTTTGTATTTCGTTTTAAGGTTTTGTGTTACATTTCTGATGTCCATCTATATTTCTCAACTATTTTGATATGTAATTTGGATTAAAGCATATGCCTACTTCTGATATGTTTACAGTTGTATATTTCTTTTAAAAATTGTTGCACAATCACGGACCATTACACACATGTATACAGTTGGGAAGGTACTTTATTTTCCATACAATGCAGTAAAAAAGAGATAAAGTATAAGATAAATAAATACATTGCATGGAAGGAGGCTACAATGAGTTCTTCAAGAACAACTCACAGAGCTTTAATGTCAACGTTTACCGGTGCCATTTTGAATTTAAGTGTTATCTAAACTATTAATACGAAATTATCTATAATAATAATAATAATAATAATAATAATATCAATAATAATAATAATAATAATAATAATAATAATAATAATAATAATAATAATAATAATAATGTATTTGCCAGAACCATTCGTTACAAACTCTCATTCTGTTGTGACATTAACTGCACTGTAGGGATCCCTATATAATGTAGCTTTCATGTTGCCTACATTTATAGCCTGTCTCTTAATGTCTAGATAATGTATCTGTTTAAAATGGAGCAATAAAGTTTAATTGAATGGAAAATAATTCCAATCCAGTTTTAAATACGTTTAAAAGATTTACTAACTGCCCATATTTCACTGCCAGATAATGATAATACCGTAATGACAGGAATAGTAACATAATGTTAAATTACTTGCTATGTTAAACCCTAAACAAAGCTCATTGCAAAAAATACACACATTTTTGCCACACTAACCTGTACGTAGTAGGCCTAATCTTGATCTCTCCACAGCAAAACAAGAAATAGGAAAAGAATAGGACCAGCGACTCCTGAAAGCGTGAACGTTGAACTTGCATAAGCCCGCGATGACGTCATAAATGGACACCAAGTTGCATAACGTTAAAATTAAGTGCGATTGGTTAAGTGTTTGGTCATGTGAATCGACAATTGAAATATCTGCGCTGCACTAGGGGTTGGGGTAACGTGATGGTTAAGCCTATTCCTGTCAGCATCACCATCACGTTACTTTTAGTAACGTGATGGTTAAAACTAAACGCTTGTCTTCTAATTCAATAGTTAGGTTTATTCCATAATTAATGCAAGCCTCATAATTTAAATTATCTCATATTTATTATTGCTTGCCACTTTGTAAGTCATCGACAATATTTAGCCAATATGATGAGGTCATACGTCAGCGTCATATGCCGGCGGTTGCATAACGTTGCAATATGCCAAAATTTGAATCGTCAGTACGTATTTTACCTATTATAGTGCAGACTAATCTGAACATGCAATCTCCAAACCCATAATAAAAATTTAGCAAAGAAGATAGTTATAGAGGAAGCCGAATATCTTTGTCCAAGAAAATGTGTTTTCTTGACCATATCCGATACTTTTACTTCGTTCATTCGTTTCTTATCTAAGATTAATCAGTGGACTTTCGGTTTTAACATATATTACTGCTGTTTTATTATGAAATTTGAATTGATTTTGATACCATACGTAAAACCATGGAGGAATTGGTTTAGATTCCTCCAACGTAAAACATACATTAGGGATCTTTTGACTTGTGCGACGACGCGACGATAGAACGGAATAACTCATGCGTGACCGTCCTACCTGGCGTCCTACGTTCTCTGCATACGGCGTAGATTTGGCCAAATTGCGTACCAGAATCTTCTCGACGAGGTGACCTTAACGTTCTCGCATGCGCAGATGACTTTTAGTGACGTCATTGCATTTTATGTCCTACCGTCGTCGTGCAATCGAAAGCTCCCTAATAAACGACATGAAAATAAAAATCAATAAAATCACGTGGTATCAGGTACAACCCTTTAAATCCCCAGAATGGGAATTTACATCCCGAGGAATATTCGAAATGCTAATGAGGGCTTAAACTATATTTTATAGCATGGTAAGCTTCTATGGTTATCGGATTGTTTCATGCGATGTTAGAAAGAATCGGTCTCCTTTATTATTTATTTGACTATTTAGTAGGTCACCAATACAACTTATAACAGATTGTTTTTAAATAATGATCAATTTACATTTTGCTAATTAAATTTACTTAGGCCTATCATAGTATATGGACGGACAAATCTCCGTACCGGGGCGTGCCCTCCGATTGGCCAAATAAATACTGATAACTGACGGATAGGCCAAGAGCATTTTATGGAAGATGTTTGAACTTGTACGGTACGATCTCCAATATACGCACGATATAATTATAAAAGTAAATTCTTCCAAGGAATTACAAAAAAAAAATACAACTGAAAAAATATATAGGCCTAGAAAACGATCTGTATAAAACAATTTGTATTTATTACAATGTTTAGCTTTACATAAATGAAATTAATTTAATACATGTTTCACTGATTAAAACGTCGGTATTTTAATTATAAGAATGAAAAATAGCCTATATAGGGCCTATATAATTATAATGTTAGTATAAGTTTACGACTCAGATAATACTTTTTAACATGCTGGCCCTTAGTGCTTAAATATTACATGGTAAAATTAAAAATATTATATAAATTGAAAATTTATCAGAATGTTAAACGTGCATTGGATAAGGAAAGTTAAGCAATTCCATTCTATAGTGAATAACATCCAAATATTTGTCAAATAACAAAGTTCAATTACCAATATTATAAATAATATGATCCGCTGTCCTGATAAAAATATAAGAATATTCACAAAAGGAAGACTATAATACGCAGCATTTCTTAATTTTAAAAATATATTTTTATTGTTTAAAAACCTTAGTGAATATTAACAATGAGAGTACCCGAATATGTAATAAGCCTATGTAAAATAATCAGTGTTTTGTTATTTGTTTTTAGGTTTGTTTTCTCCCTTTTCCTTTCAATCTCCTTCCCAAATCGATTTAGCTAGTCTTTCTTTAATAAACATAGTTATGATACAATACTAGAGCAGTAACCTGGCCAATTGGGGATTCGGCCAAACCCCCTAAACACCTGGTTAGGGGCCTGGACTACATGTTTTAGTTTACTTGTGTGAAAAATGCCCATCAAACATAGCATAAACGAAACTGACCAAATACCCAAACTGGTATACACCCGTGCGAACATACGTTGACGTATGACAGGCAAATATGGACAAAAATTTATTTCCCAAAAATATTTTTGTCCAATTGGAATCGGTGTATAACAAGTGTATAGCAGTTTGGCCGTTCTTAATCCTAATAGGACTAACGTATTGCAGCATAACAAGTACGGAAAAATTTACAGATCAGAAAAACACAACTTAGGCCAAGAGCAACCAACTCAAAAATAGTCGTGGAGGTGTCAACATTGAAATCAAATTCAAAATCGAAATCGAAATCAAGGCTTCCTAAGCTGGCAACTATTATGACGATGTAGGGTGCAAAGGTATAGCGTGTGTGTTTTTCCCATATGGTTACATCCAGGACGAAGTACAAGGTAATTACGAATGTAATTACAATATACATTATTGTGGACGACAACATGTCATCCAACCCGGTCGCGTCTTCATACGTCAGAGCGATGGCGCCATTGAGAAGGGTCGCGACGAAGGTCCAGGTTGTTAACAGTGCGATGCCGTTCTGAACCAAAAGATAGTTAGCCACTAAGTCACCCCTATAATAAATAAAACAATAGGTATATTGATGAAATTTCTGAAAGAACGGTTACATGTCAATGTAAATACATATCGATGATCACAATTATGATTAAAAATTACCAACAACCTGCGTCGTGTGTAGGCTAGGCAGGTGTATGATTCGTTTAATTGGGATTGGGAAATGGCCAGAGAGGCATTATTAAAACTACACCAGGTTCTATAAATATTATGACAATTTTCTAGCTATTCATAGAGCCGGTAAGCAAAAACTGATTTACTGTGTGTTTCTTTTGGTAGTTTATCTATTCTGCAACAAGACAAAATGTTGTGACTCACATGAGATTCTCTTGCATATATGACTTGTATTCATTTACTCGTCTGTAATTGATCCACAGACAGAGGGCGCCAGTCACAAAAATAAAGAACAAATCCAGGCAAGAATAGCTGATGTACTGCCGATCCCAGAGGAACAGCCAGCCGACCAGAAGCACCTGGTTGACGCTATACAGCAAAGTAAATCCAGGTGGCAGGACAGGTGCGACTGAATAAACAGGGCCTTCTTCGTTTGAGCGGCATAACGTTGATAAAGCGTAGGCAATCCAGAGGATCTCAAACAAAAAGATGACTCCCCAAATAGAGAATGCCCAATCTGCTGGAGTTGCTTCGATACTGTACAAATCCGAAAGCTCTTCAGTTTTGTTTTCGTATATTCCAAGATCTATATGGAATACAATTTAACACAATTTAACAATGACGTACGGTACAACCGCCAATAATAGCGATGTTTTTTTGTTGTTTTTTTTTTAGGCAAAAAATACACTCACCAATGATTGTAAATAGCGAATATCAATGTCCTACTTGATGTAGGTGGCAATCCTTTTCACAAGACAAATATACACACAAGATGCTTTACACAAACTAAATCTCAACTTAGGAAGTTGAGATGTTTTGGTAGTGAAACAAAATCCTCTAACACTGACAGGAGTTTAACACAGGACATTGGGATTGGAAGGCAGGGATCTATAACCACCGGGCTATTCAACTACATATCGTTCATCTCTTTTCATACTCAGAATGATGATCGACAACACCAAAATTTGGTCTGTTACGTCATAATCATTAAGGTAAATTACAAATAATATAAAACCAAACTCACCAACCCCGGCGTCTGTTGATGCTAAGCCAGCGAACACAGCACTTGCAATCGCAATGAGGGTCATAAGACCAGTGCTTAGGAAGTACGAACAAGCCTGCGAATCACTCATTTTCAACCAGAGTTTGACAGATTATGATGAAAAGCCTGTTGAGCAATGACATAAATATTTACTAATTTTTCTGAGGTATGTATGCATTTATTGCACAAAAGAGAGTTACTTTTGATATTATGAAATGTTGGATATATAAAAATAGGTTATTTAACAGGAAGCACATGACTTTTTTCTAACTAATAAAATAATATTATTTGAAATGAAAAATTAAATAAATCACTGCGGGACAGCTTTTGCTAAACGCCCGTTCGAAGTGGTCAATCCTAAAGAAAATTAATATATATAGTAATATATGAACACCAAAATTAGATTTGAAGTTACTTTAGGATGAGTATATGAATGTTTAATTCCAACATACAAATACAATATATATTATCAAATATTGTGAAGAAAGGTCCTAATGATATATAACGAGACAACGAGTTTTGGTTAGTTTATTGAGATGAACATGTGATAGTATCATAATCAAACTGTACATTGACTATCATTGATAGAATGCTGAAAGTTTCAAAACCTTTGTATTTTAAATTATATTTGTTGTAATTTTGTCAATGAATTAAAAGAAGATGAAGAAATCACTAACCAATACGAGTCAATAGACCTTTCCGGAGTGTAAATCAAACTTATCAACTGACTAATCAGAACAGCGCTAGGGATACGCGTGCGTCTCACAAACACACGTGTTGTCCCACAAACGCACGTGTTCGCGTATGTTTTAACATTGTCGTCTTGTGGAACCTTAGCAACAATATCCAAGGGGCGGGGCTTAGCGGAAAGGTCCATTCTATATTCTATTGACCTATCTGCTACATAATGTCAAAGATTAGCCAGGTTAATAGTAGTATGCTACAGTTGGGATATTTCGAGCTTGTATGCCTGTACCGTAAATTAAGAGCTCAGGTCAAAACCACCCGAACAATACGTACCAGTCAGGTTGAATGCTTATGAATGGTACTATTTGTGAATGGAGAATTAGATTTACTAGAATATTTCGACCGTATTTCCTCCAAAAGTCACGCAGTTCCGCATAAACTGTCCACAGAATGTTGTAGTCAACCTAGTTAGTGTAATACTTAAATTATTTTTCTTATGTCACCAACAATACACCCAAGTAGGCCTACTACTGCTATACAACTTATGAACTATTAGTACCAATTATGAATATACAATTATTTTTTCACTGTATGATGGTTGTTAAAATGTTGGAAATTATTTTCATAATGACTTAAAAGAAACGTGGAAAAATATAAATGTATTAAAACTTCGCAGACTTCAAATGTAGTGACTCATGGATCTTGAAGCGATATTACTGCATTTCGAAATTCCAGATTTATACAGTCAGCGACGTTGTGTTCTTTTTTGTCAAGATAAACATAAATATACAAAATTAAAATATCTTTTAGATGTAGGTGTTCCTAACTCATTGATAATTACAATGCATTGACATAACGGTTGAATGGAAACTAATAACCTATGGTTGAATGAAAACCTTTTTAACAAGTTCACCTTATAAATTACTTAGTTGTACATTTTTTAAATACCTTTGATGTAATTGGTAGTTTCATTTATGTATAGATGTCGCAACTGTAGATTCCCTTATTCTTTTATTACGATTTATAATATAGTCCTACTTTTATAAATGTTCACGCTACGCGTGATATACAGTTTTTTCGCTTTTGTGGTTGGTATAACTGACGGACTTCACGTAGGCCTAAGTACAGTACTCAACACCTCTCTGGTCGTTCCTTGGTTCTTTGATAATACCGGTATCTCATTCAGTGATTTCCAGTGTAGTGTGTTGATGAAATTATAATATATAACTTAACCAAAGGATCTCAACACACTCCTGCAATTCCTGGTTCCCTCTGTATGTATCCAATTTTTCAAGACGACCTGTTACCTGTCATGTTATTCATACTATTGTGAAACATAAAAATGTGTAGATTTTCTTTTTTTATCAGTCTCACAAACACACGTGTTTGAGTATGTTTTAAAAGTGTCGTTTTGTGGGACCATAGCAAAAAATATCCAAGGGGCTTAGCGGAAAGGTTCATTATAATATCAATATAAAGTTGAAAGGCATTATGATGTTGAAATTGCATTGGTAATAGCGCTGTATATAATAATGTACAGTAAATTAAGGAATTGTAAAACCTGTAGGCCTCGCATAATCATTTTCAGAACTTATTAGGCATAAAATTTCTTATCTCTAATCGCCAATTTAATATCCTATGCCAGTCTACATATTATACCGTATGACAAATCCAAATATATAGTTCATTTCATATCAGAATTGAAAATTCAAATTCATGCGCGTGCTATCCTCTCCACGCCAAAAAGAACAACGTATAGAGGCCTGCCTACCGTTCACTGGTGCGTGGGGTTGACTCGAGCGAATCGACTCTACGAGAATCGCAGAAAATCACCTGTTTTATTACAGTACTGATATTTATCATGACCTATTTAGGACAATGTTCAACACTTACCCTTTACTGCCTGTATTCACCTCTTCAGTTAGGCCTACCTGATGACTGACGCCTTACTTTTGACGCAAGGTATAATAATTCGCTTGATCCCATTCCTCATACAATCACTTTGAGTTAGAGATTTGTATAGAGGAGAGGATAACAATAGGCTCTATTCAGTTATGCTGAATGGCATTAATCCAGGCGTGACTACTACACCAATGGGTTTTCTTGTGTTAAAATATTTAGGAATGATAATCAGCAAATATATATATACGTTCACGTGAAGCGTAAACGTGGTGCCTGCCGCGGGGGTTGAATACAAGAAAAGAAAAACCATTTGATGATGAAACGCATAACTTATGCCTACATCATTTGCCAATAACGTTATCTAAGCAGATGAGTGTCTAAATTTCTTTGGTGTTGTGAAATGTAGGCCTATAAGAATGTTAGGCATATCGAATATTTAATTAACAAATGCATTTTCATGTTTGTTTTTCTTTTATGCCTAGGGTTGTAGAAAGTTGATTTCTAATTGAGGATTGGTGAATTACTTTATATCATTATTATACTTATTTTCGTTGTAATCATAATTTTTATAATTTTCATATTATTGTAATTATCATCCTCCTCATCATCATCATTATCATCATCTTCTTCCTCTTCAAGTATGGATGGTATAGGCCTATGTAATCTATTCGTGAAGTTGCTGGTACCATGGAGAAAAAATATAATCTGAAAATAGGTTTATCACACCAAGAGTAAAAGTCACTTTGACCTCAAGGCCCATGGATATACAAAAAGTATAACCCTGCATCAGCCACTAAAAATTTTGGTAAATTTAGAATAATTATTCATATATCATAAACATAACATAAAATTTGCTTATTATCATCATTGAGCACGTAAACCAAAGAGTACTGTATACAGTTGCAAGAGGTCCGACTGCCCTGATTTTGTATGTACACAATAAAACGTTAAAAAATATATAATACCACGCAATAGGGGCGCCCTAACGAATGTACGTTCTTTTGAATGACGCCTTCTAAACACTGGTGTTATAGAAATTGTCTCAAGGTAAGCCATAAACTGAGACTATCAACTACAATATTAATTGATTCTTATCTTTTTTTTAAACAGAAACTACGGCTCCGTTAACAATGACGCGTCATAATAATTTTGAAATGTGGGTGGGGGGGTTAATGGGGGAGCGAAGGTGAAGTGGGGTGGGGCTCGATGATTTGGTGATAAAATAATGCTTTACTACGTGAAAATTAGACCTGAAAAGAATTAAAGAAGTGAAAAAGAAAAACATAAAGAAAATGAAAAAAACAGAAAATAAAATAAAAAAGAAAGAAAATATTGATTAAAGAATAGGAAAGAAGTGCAGTGAATAGGAAGAAAATGGGATGAGAAAGAAAATGGGGAGTTTATTAAAAACAGAAAGGTTAGGAAAGAAATAACGAAACTTTACATGTTTAAAGAAAGGAAAAGAAAAAAGAAATGAAATGAAGAAAAATAATCATCAGATGTGACTGATAGATAAATAATACAAATCTATAACAATTGAGACTGTACATTGTTTTGATAAAATATTTATTTGAACTAAAATGAAACAAAAAATCGAAAATTAAATAATTAGCAAAAATTAAATTATAATAATGTTGCAACTCTTTCAAAAAATTGTATTAACAGAGGAAATTTCGTTAATATCCTTTACTTTTAAAATTTAAATATTTGAAATAATAGAGAATTTATATAACAACAAGTAAAATAACATATTAACTGTAAATTGTAAATATAGATTTAAACACACTAGTGGTCGTCTCCCTGTAGGTACTGTATGTATCGTGGTTAAATCGGGTTTTTTTTTGCATAGGGATTTTGAAATTGTTAAATATAAGTTGAATTGATTACAATTGGACAACATGAAAAGCAAATAAATTACACTTACATTGTATGGTTTCATATAGGGCGATATGCCTATTTTATATCTCTATATGGTTTATTTTTATTTTTGGAATGTGTTTTCGTTTTTTAGTGTATATATATATATCCTACATGACTTACCACAGTATTCAGCTTTGATATACAGGACTTAACCTTAGTATTTGTCTGTCATACATCTGACCGGAGTATGTGAACCGTTAGTATCGTAAGCACTATTGCCTGATGATGACGTGTTACACGTAGAAAAATGTTGTTTATTAGTAGGCCTATCATTTATATTCCAAAATAGGACCTGACATAAAACATTGCAATATAAAAACATATCATGCTAAAGTAACGCAGAAAATTGAAATTTGTAGAAAGAGTCTTTTTGGGCAGAGAATAATTTTCCGTGGAGGTCCCTTCCTTAACTCATTCCTACTTTTGTTCGCTTTGAATAATCCACTAGAAAATCTCCTAAAATGTTAACAATAGGCCTTACACATGAATCAAGAATATGAATATGAAAAAAAAATTTCTTTGTGGATGTAAGTACAGCGTAACGGCAGCCCTCTATTAATAGGTCCATGTATACACAATCCAGTATCTGGAAATATGGCTACACCTCAAAATCAATACAATGCGTAAGTGTTAATTAATTCTTTATAATAAACAGTTTGTAAAACCATTAAACAGAGAAATATTAGATTATTAGAAATTTAAACCATTTTTGAAGCTACAAGTGGGTGGGGGAGGGGCAGGGGTTTAGTAAAAAAAAGGGGGAGGGGCAGGGGTTTAGCCAAAAAAAAAAAAAACCAATAGGCCGTCCAAAATGGAAGCCAGTTGCGTGACACTGAGCTGATGTGCGGGCCACGCCCATCTTTGGGAATTCCCACCGAATATTGGAACGAAAACAACGTACATTCAATCAATAAATGTTGTTTTTATCAAACAGAAATATGATTTAGCTCTAGTTTAATGTAACATTCGATATTTGAAGAATATGAATAATTTACTAAAGGTAGACCAGGCCCAATAGGCTAGGCCGAACTGATTAGGCCAAGCCGTCACGTTAAAAGTGGCTGTCCTAAATAATTGTAGGCAGTCCAAAAACGGCCGGACGGCTCGCTGCCTAAGCTTATGGGGAGGGGTGCAACGCACTACACATAGAGAAGAACTTCCCACTGGTGCAGACTGTACGTGGGCAGAGTGGAAATGAAGGACTGGAGCGGACGGCTGCAAGAATGTACTCAGTAAATGGAGCTCAGCATCTCAAGCTCAGTAGGGCTGCTGTTGAACAAAACTTCAATACACACCATGGAACATCTTCTTAGTTGTCTCCTTCTGGAGTGAGCATGTACTACAGTTGACCCTTCGGAACTCAATGACAACAATAGGATATGTGTGTGGACATGGCTGAAAAGAATGTAAACCTGACGTGTATAGACTCGATGAAGATTGAAGGCCCTATTGCAAGCAATCGACCCTTCACTCATTAAACCCCCACTTTACCATCACGTACCGCATCAGTCCCTATATCAATATCAGAAATCCAGAGATGACGGAACTGGGGGTGCTGTGTTATAATGTGTGACCGGAAATGGCGGTCTGCAATTAGTTGGTTACCATGCGCCAGTGATGTTAGAGTATAGTACAACAAGATGAAACTATTATGTAGGCCTAATGCATGAATAAAGTTCAGGCTTTGTGGGGTAGTGAAATGATTATTGTACATTTTAGGTGCTCCCTAAATGCATAAGTGTAAGGTAAATAACTGTGATTAATTTAATAAGCGAAGATATGGAGACAATTATTTTTAAGTTCCCTCTTTCCAAGAGGGGATACAAATGCTTTGTGAAAATGAGTACGCTGCGGTACTCATTTTCACAAAGAAACACACCATGGTTAGCTAACAATATGCCAATGTCACATGAACACCTGTGAAGGAAGGTGCAATCACGTTCTGTTGCCTATCAAACGTCTGTATGGGGGCGGGGACGATGCGGCATAATAAAACTAGGCCCAGGCCTAACCTGACAATGCAATTATATGTGATAGAAAGTACACTTTCGAAAGAAATAAATTAAAATAAGAAAAAAAAAATTTAAGAATAATTCAGTTGCAGAGGTACCTTGTTTAATTATTAAACAATGCGGCTTTTGTAGCCACAAAGCAAGGCATCCATGTGCAATGCAGTGCAGTGGTGTTTTGTTTATCCATGAAAAAAAGCACGCCGGGAGAGTTTGCCTCACCAGGAAAAGGTGACGTATTGTAGCTTATGACGTATGCATGCTAACTATAGTGAGTGTGACGTCACCAAAAAATATTTTCTATTATAACCAAAATATTAATAACTACAAGGTTTCTGGGCGTAAATTCCATTGATACGAATTAAGGGTTGCACAATCTCCTTGTCATACAAATTACAGCTCTCGCTGACGTGTCAATCGTGAAATACGGGTCGCTGAAGTTCTTCTCGAAAATCTGACTACGAAACCATATCGAAATTTTACGTTCCGCTTTTGGCATTTGAGTAGTGCTTCGCACTCGCCGCTGAGGGTGGCGTTCCGGAACCCTGCGTCCAGTAGGCATTCTGTTAGTAACCCGGCTATACTCTAACCGTAACTCCAAAAAACCAAAACAAAGAATGAGCCTAGGTAAAATTAACTTCATAATTTATTATTTGGAACATTTAACCATGATGTAGCTTTAATAGACCATAGTCCAACTTACGAAAGTCCTAATTACGTAATGTCCGGTTTACAGAACATCTAACATGTTACGAAGTGTTGGCCAACACATAGGCTACTGTGTGTTAAGTTAATTCACTAGTCTGGCCTTAGCCTAGGCCTATACTGTTTTGCATTACAGCAGGCAACATTTAAAAACTACTAAAATAGCAAACAAATTATAAAACGATTTTTTAATATCACCAAAATATTAACCCCAGCTTTTGATTATTAAAGAAAAAATCTATTTTTAAATTATTATATTTCATTTTCTCTTCTCGATTAATGTGAGAAAAGAGAAAAGAATACCTGTACCTGAAATATAATTTTTTGTTTAAATACTTTCGTCCTTATTTTATTCATCAATATCAATAATTTTCAATAGTGCATGTATTATAAACTTAGATTGTTGTATTGATGTAAACATACAATGTACGGTACTGTATTTGCTTTATGCGGTTTGTAACGTTTGTTTTTTTTCAATATCACAGTGAAGATCTATATAATGCAGCAGAAAAGGAGAATTGGAAAGAAGTGCGAATAATTATCAGTGACCAACCTCAACTCGTCAATGAAATATATGTATTGTACACTCTTTTCTTTTTAAACATAATTATTGAATAGCTAGTCTCAATAAATAAGCGACAGAACCTTAATCAGTGGCGTAACGCTTATTGGATCTGGGGGCGATGCCTCGGACACCAGTCCAAAGTGGCCCGGGAAATCCCATTTACTAAACACCAAGTAATCTGAGTTATGAACTTACGGTCCTGTAGTATTACCCAAACTATCAAATTGAAAGCAGTAATTGCTGCAGTTTTTTCACAAATGTCCTATGTAGATCTCCCAAGACAACACTTCTTTTCAACAGTACAAGTTACTGACTCAAAAAACCCAAATTGGCCTACTAAACTTAAAATGGTACCTGAAATGAAACAATGGAGTAATTGGCTATTCATATTTAAGGAATTTGCATCATCTTTGAAAAAAAAAAAAAAAAAAAAAAAAACGATAATTAGTACAAATGACAATGACAAGTTACGATGAACAGAAATCTTTGTGTGTGAAGCAGATTATGTTTTGAAAATGTACGGTACTGACTCTTATGGGCTAAAACATAAAAAAAAAAATCCATAGGCATATTTGAATTACCTAATTTGTATATTAAGTAAGTTATTTACTTACAATTAACAGTTAAATAAATCCTTTTCTGCATCCTTTCTATAGACCCTATTGGATGTTAATCGATTTAAATATTTTAAAGTAAATATCTGTGTAAATAAACAAAAATTATTTTTTTTATATTTTTATGGTTGGAAGTTAACAACTTATTTGATCTTTTTAATGTGATTCATTCAATAACATTTTCGAGGTTTTGCGATTTCTTTGCAGACAGTAGGCTTAAATCGTTAAATCGCAAGTATTATTTTGTAACAGTATTGGCATTGCCTTTACAGCATAATATCCATAAATGCTCTAGGTAGCGAAGGGAATCACTCATATCGCTCCCCCCGATACCTTCGTAACACTTAATAATCGAATATTTTATTTTTTAGCCCCGTGACTTCGCCATGCAAATCTTCAAACAATATTATCATTATCATCATTATCATCATCATTATTATCATTTCTATTATTATTATTAATATTATTATTAGCATCATCATTATCATAATGTTATCATGCATTTGTTTTTGTAGGACCGTCTGACGTTTGTTTATCGTATTGTGCTGCTGCTTAAAGCGCCACAAGACATTCTGTTGGACATAAGAGACAGATATATATATAACAAAAGAATACGTTTATAATAACGTAAAAAAATCGTATCGTGGATATCATATCAACAAAAACGTTGCTAATTTCTTGTTTGAAAAAGTTCCCGGGATTTAACTCGCAATATCGCAATTTACATCTCTGATAATATTTGGTGCAATAATTCTCTGCCGTGTGAAGACATTTCATTTCAATTCAAAGAAATGATATACGTTCTCACAAAGTGAACTGGTTTAGGTTGGAGAGCGTCAACTAAATTGAAATGTCACTGCGTAGTGTTGTGGAATAGGCCTACCGGTATATCATAATGCGTGTGCAATTCTCTTTTTCCATGTTTCTCTTTTATCTCCTGTAGTTTAGTGAAAGCATTCTGCATTACTTGGCACAAAATGGACAAGTAGAAGCATTGCGTCTAGTGTTTGATAAATCACACAAACGGGTGAATTGGAGAGACAAGAAGGTATAGTATGATTTAATATATACCTTACAACTACCAGTAAATATGATAATCACATATATTTACATATTATTTAACAATAAAAACAGGCCTATAACTATAGTGTTGGTACTATATTGGTACCATATTAACGATCACAAACTATCACAGTTTATATAACACATAAAACAGTATGTAACATATCAACATTTACATTGAAATATGCCAGGTTAAATAGGTACAAATGCTGATTTCTGTTTTGATTAATATAGTATGTTTATTCCCTCTGCATCTGTTTAATTCTGCACAAGCACCTGGTGTGGAGTATGGTGTTGTCGTCAGCATGCAATAGGCTATTTATAAAATTTTGAGAAAGGCGCGGCTAGACTGTCGATATCACGCTTCACAAGATGTGACTTAAATGACTGTAGAGTAGGTGCACAACGAATATAGTCAGGAAGTAAATTCTATTTTGGGGTAGTTCTATGACATGACGACTTTTGTAACTAACTTTTGTTAAGTTTCCAGTTCAATTAGTTGTGAGCAATACAGTAGCACCAAGATGCGTAGATGCTGACTATACCTGTACAAATGTTTAGCATATTATTCTCAATGTTTTCCATTGCGTCACAGTTTGGCGAAACTCCACTTCACTGGTTGTTAAAAGCAAACCATATATTTCACGTTCATAAGGGCGCAACACAAGTACTATTAGACGCTGGAGCAGAAACCCATATCGAAAACGAGGTACAGTCAAAATATACTTGTATTTCCCGGAGGAAAATATTAAAAAATGAAATCAATAAAATCAATCTCACATTCCACATACTTCCTAGTCTAGACGAAATACAATATTTTTTCCAAAGCCATATGAAACATAAAGTACTTTGCCATACTTACAAAGCATCACTGTTGATTATGATAGATTGAATACATTAGGACTATCTGATAAACTCTAATGAGTATTTATAAGTGAAAATTTGACGTTTAAAAGCCAGAAAATAATATAATGCAGTACAACGCAGTACCGTATGGCACTACAGTGTGATAGTTACGAAGATAAATGCTAGGATAATGTTTTTGTTTTTTTTAAATTCCAATTACTAAAACCGAAGATAATAGAAACACAAGGTAGATTTCTCCACAGAAAAAACTGTTCCACCGAAATGCATGGTGGGAATGCAAACAATGGTGCACCGCGTACGGCTGGTTCTAAAAAACTTCTGCCACCGTTACATAACTGTGAATAAATAACCTCCTTTTGCGGAGGTTGAAATCGTTGCCATTATGCATTAGATACAAACAAGTAGGCATCAATAAATCATAACAATAAAATGACAGACACAAAAGCGCAGAATCGTATGACCAGGACTCTGATTAGTGATAAAGTTTTCCTCTATTGGACAGCCCTTCTTTCTCCAATGGCTGTCCAATGGAGGAAAACTCTGATTAGTGATAAAGTTTTCCTCCATTGGACAGCCATTGGAGAAAGAAGGGCGCTGTGTGCGTCTGGATATACCTATTAACAGCAGGGTGCCTTATACGTCAGGACCAATTTCCGTCTCATTTTTGCTATGCGCCGAGTGCCCGTATCTTGTATTTCTAGTATCTTTGCTAAAACTGGTTTGTCAAGCATCTGGTGGTAGTGCTTACTTTTCAAACCAACTACTGCAATTAAGTTAGTAATTGGTCTATATCAAAGATAAGCTGATGTTATTGCTGTACGTTGAAAACACATTAGCTATATTTATATTATATTTTATTTATTGTTGTTATATTGCATGAATAATTCGTACCGTATTTATTTTGTTTATTGAGTCTTGCTCATATAATGATGATGATTTTCAGGGCGGTTCTACTCCAGCAGAGCTTTATACTGTAAATAAATGCAGCAAGTACGATGACGCTCAAAAAGATGGACAGAAGAAAGAAGTCTTGCTACTTTTAGACAGTAATTCCTATAAATATATGCTCATATTATTACATTAATGTCTTCTTTATATTATATAAATTGTTCTCAAAACAGTTTTATTAGTATTTATTAATAAAAGATGTTTTAAGCCATTAACGATTAATCCTAGGAAATTAACTTGGATGTGTGACAACTTAGAAGATAATCATAAGGTTCCGACTCAATGACCATGTAGAATCCCTTATAGACTGCTTTATTAACTTACAAGCACCAGTACCGTGTTATAACAAACTTTTTCTTGGATCTAAACAGCAAGCTGGTCCCTACCGGAGCTTTGTCTTTATAGCACTGCTTATAAATAGTGAAGCTAATAACTTGTTCAATTTCAGAAAAAAAAATACTGAGAAATTATAGCTCGTATACAGTTTAAAACATTAAATTATTTACAAGTTACAAACAACGGTAACAATATGGATGTCAAAATCATTTATAAATGGATAAATGGTTAACACAGTATACATTTAAGTATTGAAAAGATAAAAGACCAGCACTTTACTTTACTTATAAATAGTGAAGTTAATAACTTTCAGAAAAAATACTGAGAAATTATAGCTCGTATACAGTGTAAAACATTAAATTATTTACAAGTTACAAACAACAAACAACGATAAAAATATGGATGTCAAAATCATTTATAAATGGTTAACACAGTATACGTTTAAATATTAGAGAAAAAACAGAACTTTACCATAAAACTCATTACGATAAGAGATATACAGTAATACAGTAATATTCTACATGATCAGATATGTGTACGATTTGGTACGATTGGAGCTTAATCCTTGATTACTTTCCAACAAAATTAAATACTAGTATACTGTGAAAGGTTCTTTAATGTATAGACTAAAGGTTTTACTAACGGTTTTCACAGACTGTATATTCAACTAAAGACTAGATGAAACCCATCCAGGTATTAAATATTTTAAGTCAATCGTGACGTCACACTGCAACTCCCAATGTTATTTGTCTATCCCCCCACAGTCCAATCATTTTTTAATTAGTAGACGCTTTTTTTTAGGTTCGTATGTAAAAAAAAATTACCATTTTTTTCGTCACACGCGAACATATCGCGCACCGCGATGAAAATTGAAGTGTTATTGAAAATAGCATTTACAAACAAGTTCTTGTTACACAATAAAATAGTTTTAATAAATATTCATCGTATCCGTACTGTTTAATGTCGCTAGCCCTGTGAATTGAATTAACGTGCGTGCAGGAGCACAATACGCACAGCTAAATATAAACACACAGTACTGTATACTGATCATATAACAACCGATGACTACTAGCAGTTTGTTATCAAAGCTAATATTAAAATACGGCTATGGACTTATAAAGCAATTAGTAGAGCATGCATCGTAAACTAGCGAAAAATTATTATACTTAGGTTAGATTTAACGCATTCAAAATTTTCCTTCGGGCCTTGCAGTCCCTCAGGAAATTGTTTCAAGTGTTAAATTTAACTTTCGTATAATAATTTTCCTATACTGTACTATGCGGAGCTCTACTAAATGCTTACTACTATCATATTATACAAACTATTGTATTTTCTTTCTACAGAAGCTGCCCCAGCTGCGACATCTCTAAAACAACTGAAGGAAGGGCAGGGTGAGTTGTTTATGTAGTAATAGTTCTATACTTTTATATTATCATTATTATATAGACGATGGGATTTCTAAATATTTAAACGCTGGGAGAAGGGCTTTGGAACTCCCTAAAACGCATAAAAATGTCACAAACAACAGACAACGAAAAGAAATATGGTGGTTAACCCAGTACACCTTTAAATATTTAAAAAACTTACATTAAAGGGATCAAATTCAATATTTTACACTGGAGGGGCTTTTGAAGAAATAATTGTGAACGGATAAACGATAGCGATTTTTGAGTTTGTTAGTCCTGTGTACTGAAAAGAACTCTGTGTTCACTATTTGAATAAGGATTTTAACAAGGATAAATATATATTTAAAAAATATATTATTTCCTCTTTCTACAGAAGCTGTGACAATACTGACACCTCCAACAGGACCGATGGAAGGGCAGGGTGAGTTTATTATGTAGTAATACAGGTATCCCTCTATTAAGCAACCCTCCAATTACATAATATCCTCCAATTAGAGACCATTTTCTGTGGTCCCAAATTAAATAATATCTAGTGTTCTAATATAACCAAAGCTAAAGACAATTAGTTAGGCATATATATCTTTATATTTTCATTATTACACCAAGAAAAATGCTTACATAGACCAATAATGGTTTTTGTTTATATTTCTACAGAATCCATCACATCAGAGGTTAAAACTAATGGTAAGCTTTTAACTATCAGAATGACACGATTAGAGTGTATCCGTTTTGCATTGTGGTCTTGGAAAATAGATTAACATTATGAGAGAATTTACGTTCTATTGAAAAAAGAGTTCTGTGCAGAACCAACTCAGTCAAATGTTCTATGTTGGCCTATGTAC